TTTTTTTGATTACTTTTCTTAAAAATGTTTTCAATCAAGTTATCCGAAATTTGCGTTTTTTTACTTTACGCAATTTTGTTTATTGAAGCATATATTAATACGATAAAAAATACAGCAATCATTAATCATTTTTGTGAAAACAATTTTTGGAAAAATTTATCTAATTTACAGGAAGTGAGATATGGTAAAGATTATTATTACTTAGATAATATTAATTGCGAGGCCGATTTATCAACAAGCAATCGTAGAATACGTAGCACTGCATTATTCCTTAGTTGTCTTTACGCTCATGATTTAAGACAAATATTCAAAATGGTCGATGATTATCAAAATATATGTCGAATAATTCTAGAAAACAAAATTAATCCCTATCAATGTACCATGAATTTATTGAAAGTTATTAAAAACATTACTCTATTGGCAACAGTCATAAAAGAATCATTGATTTCATTAGATGCGGTATATAATATGCCACCAGACCAAACAATAGAAGATTATATATTATATGATTTTTTGTCGCGTTTACAAGAAGTTGAAAAAACTGTTGCTAATGAATCTCCGTCGCAGGATAATTCAAGGGATTGTGAAATGATCTTATTAAATATTAAAAATATTTTTAAATCAAAGATAGAAGATATGGACGAAGAAATTCAAGGCAAACGTAAAAGAGAATGTAAGTTTAACACTATCAATTTATATCCAATGTGGCAAGATTCGAATGCAGTGAATAATATAGAAAATGATGATTATTATTTTAAAAATTTGAATAAACAATTTGATAATGAATTTCAGAAGATTATTGTAGAAAAGTATTACAATTTAGGCTTCTATTTCAACAAAAATATTAAGATGATTCATATACCAACGCCAGGAAAAGATCTCTATGGTAAGTTTTCAACAGAAACATTTAATTTTTAAACATATTAACTTATTTTGAAATATTAAGTTATATCCTAAATATACCTTGAAATTTTGTAGAAATACTACTTAATATATTGAAACTCATTGGTAAAAACCATATTAATATTGATTATTTTAAGAATATCAATTATTCAAAATCAAGTTAAATTCGTCATCTTGCTCCAGGCGTGGTGCAAGATTTTTTTAAAGAAGAATATTTCATACCTGTAATACCATTTAGATAATGCTTAAAAATGTACTGTACGATCATTCTCCAATAATGCAGAAGTCCTACCAACTAGAAATGTTTAGTGTATTATACAATTTTTAATTGGCCTAATAAGTAATTTAAATAAACTAGCACAGGGACCTCCCTGTAAAAAAAAGGTTTCAATATAAAAGAAAATTATTTTGATTTGTTAATTTCAAAAAATATATGGTAATTTTAAGAAAAAAAACCCATTCCAGTGGGATTGTGGCACAGTAGTGACGTGGCCCAATACTGACGTGACACAATGCTGACGTGGCATAGATGTAACATTATCCCATAAGCTTCATGATCTGCTATTTCCTTATTAATATCCTGATTAAGATAAAATATGTCGAATGAAAAAGGATATAAATATTATTTCTCATAAAAAAATTATGTTGATCCATACTCTTTTAAAAAAGTTATAGCATTTTAAAGTAAAAAACCCAGCACAGGGCGGTCGCGGCACAGTGGTGACGTGGCATAGTTGGATCAAGTATAATGTTTATATAAGTGTAATGATTAAATTCACTATCAAAAAAAAAACGCTTCGATGCAAATCTTTAGATAGTGTTTAATTTTAAAAAATTGGTGGATTATTCGAAAAGCTACATGATCTGCTATTTCTTTATTAATATCCTGATTAAGATAAAGTATGTCGAATGAATGTGGGATATAAATATTATTTCTCATGAAAAAATTATATTGATCCATACATTTTTAAAATAGTTATAGCATAATAAAGTTAAAAATGTAAAATACAAAATCGGGAATTTTCACTCAAAAATAGCATTCGGTAACCATTTTCACCGTGAAAACAAAATAAAGTCCGAAATTTTTTTTATTCCATGATAAAATACATTACATTAGCTTTAATTTAAAATATATATAAAAGTGTCAGTCATTCCGGAATACTTTCAAAAGTTATGTTGAAAAAGTAAATTTTTTGTGAAAAAGTTGTCATTTTAAATCCACCTGTGGGCAGGTAAAGGGTCAAATTTATAAAAAAAATATATCAAATAATAGGTAAAGAAATCATGCATCTATAAAAAAAAACTATATTGAGAGCTGAGAATGAGTGGTAACAGACAAAAAAACAAAAAATACATATCATAGTAAAATTAATACCTATTTTACTATGATATGTATTTTTTGTATCTGTTACCACTCAAACTCATCTCTCACTGGACCGATTTTTATGTACAATACAGCCGTATTTTGTGGGCGGTGGGAACATTATACACGAGGCATATACGGCGGCAGAGGCGTCGGCTGTAGGAATATATAAGTGAATATTAACATATACGTATATTCGTATAAATATTAATATATATATATTTATTAATATTAGCGGAGGCGGTAGGAATATATGATCTTCGCATAATATCGCGGCACTTTTGCTGGCGTCGACAACGCGATGTCCGGCGTGATCCTCAGGCGTCAAAAGGTTAGCAGCGTAGATGACAACAGTGCGCGAGTGCGGATCGGTTTGTTGACGTTGTCACTTTGACAACGAGAAGACTACGGTATCATTAACGGCGGGACTTCGTCGGCCGTGCGGCACTTGCTGGACTTTGCACAGCGGTGTAAAACGACGCGGGGCTGTGTCAATTACAATAAAAATTTGTTATATACAGGGTGTTCAATAAGTCAGGAAACGGGTTTCTATTGTTCTCATTGTTTGTAACAATGAGAACAATAGAAACCCGTTTCCTGACTTACTGAACACCCTGTATATATATAATTGATGACCCGCGCTCGACTACGGGTTGGAAAATATTATTTTCGACGACTGTAGAGCGGGGTGGGGTGAATACATTACGACCTTCTAGTCTCGTGCGCGTGCGCGTGGAAAGTTACAAACAACTCACAACACACATACAAGTGAAACTAATAAAAGCGTGTTAAAAAATATAGTTTAAAAAAACTAAAAAACACGCTTTTAAAGCACATCGAACTAAAAAGTTAAAAATAATTTTTAAAATTAACTTAAAACAATAATGAACGAAAAATACTAGTATTATTGTGAAAAAAAGCGTGGGTGCTTTATGCCATATTTTTTGTATATTGAGCACCTGACGATTTTTTTCACAATAATACTAGTATTTTTCGTTCATTATTGTTTTAAGTTAATTTTAAAAATTATTTTTAACTTTTTAGTTCGATGTGCTTTAAAAGCGTGTTTTTTAGTTTTTTTAAACTATATTTTTTTTTCACTTTTTAGTTTCATGTTATGATAGTAGTTAATATCAATATCATGGTTGTAACGGGTAACGGGAAATAAGGGTTCGATTCCGGAGAGGGAGTCTAAGAAACGGCTACCACATCCAAGGAAAGCAGCAGGCGCGTAACGTGGAGGTAGTGACGAAAAATAACGATACGAGAATCATCCTCCGTAATCGGAATGAATACACTACATATCTCTTAATGAGAATAAAGTGTATTAATATATAAGTTTTAATAGTAATTAGAATATATATATATTTAAAGGGACTTAAGTACGTAACGTATCATGCATGAGGTATAGCCGTGTTTATGTGGGCGGGCATGGCGGAGGGAACATTATACACGAGGCATATACGGCAGCAGAGGCGTCGGCTGTAGGAATATATAAATGAATATTAACATATACGTACAAATATTAATATATATATATATTAATATTAGCGGTGGCGGTAGGAATATATAATCTTCGCATAATATCGCGGCACTTTCGCTGGCATCGACGACGCGTTGTCCGGCGGTGTTCCTCGGACGTCAACAGGTTAGCAGCGTTGATAGCGACGGCGCGCGAGTGCGGATCGAATCGTAGACGTTGTCACTTTGACAACGGGAAGAAGACTGCGGTATCATTTGCGGCGGAATGTCGTCGGGCGTGCGGCGCTTGCTGGACTTTGCACAGTATAACGCGAGGTGTTGGTCAGTCAAATACTCATAATAGGGCGACGGCTGATAAAGGTGGCACGAGTCGTGGGGCATTGTGTATAATGAAACGACGCGGGCCGTGTCAATTACAATAAAAATTTGTTATATATATACATAATTGATGACACGCGCGCGTCTACGGGTTAGAAAATATTGTTGTCTACGAGTGGTGAGCGGGGTGGGGCGAATGCATTACAACAGTATAGTCTCAAGGTCATACACGACGGGATACGCGACATAATAACACGTGCCGCGTGGAGTTACAAACTTACAAACGACAAACAAACAACAAACAACAAACAACAAACATACACGTGAAACTAATATAAGCGTGTTAAAAAAGCTTCGGTCCAAATCTTTGATATAGTGTTTAATTTTAAAACATTGGTCGATTATTCCATAAGCTACATGATCTGCTATTTTCTTATTAATATCCTGATTAAGATAAAGTATGTCGAATGAAAAAGGGATATAAATATTATTTCTCATAAAAAAATTGTGTTGATCCATACTCTTTTCAATAAGTTATAGCATTATAAAGTTAAAAATNAAAATTGTGTTGATCCATACTCTTTTCAATAAGTTATAGCATTATAAAGTTAAAAATGTAAAAAAAAAATCGAGAATTTTCACACAAATATTTTATTTGGTAGCCATTTTCATCATGAAGACAAAATAAAGTCCGAATTTTTTTTTTCCATAATAAAGTACATTACATTAGCTTTAATTTAAGATATATATAAAAGTGTCAGACTTTCCGGAAAATTTATAAAAGTTAAGTAGAAAAAGTTCTACTTTTTATATGCGTTTTTTAGATTTGAACAACCCTCGTATATAGGGAAATAGTCCGATTTAAAAAAACAGTATGTCAAATGAAAAATGTATATAAATACTACTTCTCATGAAAAAATTGTATTGATCCGGACATTTTCAAAAACTTGTAGTATAATAAAGTTAAAAATATAAATAGCCATTTTCACCGTGAAGATAAAATAAAGTCTGAATTTTTTTTATTCCATGATAAAATATATTACATTAGCTTCAATTTAAGATATATATAAAAGTGTCAGTATTTCTGGAACACCTTCAAAAGTTAAGTTAAAAAAGTTAATTTTTTGTGAAAAAAATGTCATTTTATATCCCATCCTGTGGGTAGATAAAAGGTCAAATTTATAAAAAAACATCAAATGATAAGTAAGGACATTATGCATCTATTAAAAAAAAAATTATATTGATTTGTTTTATTTTAAAAAATTTATGCCAGTTTTAAGTAAAAAAAATTGAAACAATTTTGAAAATTCGCAATTTTTAAATTTGTAATTTTTTTGGAGATTTCCCCCATTTACGGGGAACGAGGCAATTTTTCAATTTTTGAGGGTAATGTCTTCGACTAGATACAATTTGTGATCTTTTGACGTATCATTGAAAGAAATCGGTTCGGCGAGAGTTGAAAAAAAATGAAAACAGACACAAAAAAAAAAACTAGTACCTTCTCGAAAAAATCGAGCTAAAAAATATTTAAAGACAAAATCGACACCATGACCCCTAATTGTTAGTTTTTTTTCAATAACTCAGGTATTTTAAATAAATTTGAGAAAATAATTTTATTTTTAGAAACTTCATGTATCTTTTCTCTTTTCATTTTATTCAAAAACTTACCCAATTTCGCCTATATTTGTTTATCAATGAGTAATTATAAAATTATTTATGTTTATATAAAACTACACAGAATTAAGTGTAAGTTAGCAACAAATAGTTGCAATTCAATCTTTGCTACTTACAATAGGTTTAACGTAGAATTTTCTTATTATTTGATATTTAGAATAAAAGTGTAATGTAGGTTTTTCAGGACAATAATAGTTTAAAAAGGTATTGCATTCAAACCAACTTGAGATCAGCTGAAGGTCAAATAGAGCTATAAGAAACATAAAATAATAATTCTCCTAAATTAATTATTTTGTTACTTAAATTCTACATAATTTTATCTACAATTAAGTGGAACAGATAAAAATTATTACTCCCTTAAATTTTGTGTGCAATTTAGTTCCAAATAATATAAAATAATACATGTAATATTAATATTAAAAAATTTGAAGTTTATATACACATAAATTTAAGGTTACTTTATATCAATAGACAATTATAGTAGTTGGTGGTAAAATTATTTAATATCATTATCTTCTTTATGCAAATGGTTGCAGAATTAAACAAAAATGTAATTTTTTTGTTGTTATTTTTGCTTAAAATTGCCATCTCATTTTGAAAAATAAACAAATCAAATAATAATTTTTATTTTGTTAGCTATTTGAATATGTATGTGGCCTTAAAAAAAAAAAAAAATTTAAATCACTTATAAGGTAAAAAAAAAATTAATAAAATAAAAAAAATATTAAAAAAAATTTCCTCGATATCATTATTATCTTAAAAGAAAATATTTATTAATAAATATTATAAGTATAAATTAAAAGAAAAAAGTTAATGTTAATTAATTAATTAATTTATTTATTTTATAATTTCACGGGCAGAAGCCCTTTATACAAATAATCCAAGTACATAAATTAGGTAATTGTAACATAGACAAAGATATATACTAAAAATATGTAAATTAATTATTAAACGCAAAGATAGAAATTGTAACGTCACAAATTCGAAGGTGGACCGTTTATGATTTTTTGTTATGTCTACTTATTTATTTTATCGCGCGAAAGAACCTTTTTCTGACACAGCGGTGTCAACTTAAGATTATACTTTTAATTATCTTAAAATTAAATTCCATCTATGGTCCGGTAATCATATCTGATAGGTATGAAACCTCGCCTAGGTGGTGGCGACCCTTGCTACTATAGCTAGTCGTTATGCAAGTGGCAAACCATGTTGTTGTTACAGGCCAATATATAAAAAGCCCGCTTGCAAAATACAAAATGAAAATGAATTTAATTATTAAACATAAAGAAAAATACAAAAATTAAAATGAAAAATTAGGGTCAACATTGGAATTAGACATAAGACGCCTAAGTGGCTCATTTTTTGCATAATTAGTTAGGCAGTGAGAGAAAACAAATGGAGCATTATTTCTTGTTGCGCGCTGAGGTACTCTGAAACATATGAGGGACAACAGGCTCGGCAAATCAATATTACCATTCAATAAACCAATTAGGAAATTAATTCCAGCATTGCGCCTACGCTCAGCTAATGAGGATAGGCCAAGCAAATACGAGACAGGGGCATAATCGTGATTTGGACAGACTATGTTGAGCGAGTAGCTGACAAAGCGTAAGAACTTTCACTGAACTCGCTCAAGCTGTAGCGAGCCCAAGGCAGTATAAGGATCCCACACTACACTACCATATTCTAGAATAGGTCTGACTATAGAACAGAATAGCACTTTAAGTGAAAGTCCTTGCTTGAAATGTTTGGCCAAACGCATAATAAAACCTAACGCTTTAAAAGCTTTACATCAAACATAATCAATATGAAGCATAGGATCAAGATTATAACGAAACTTAAAGCCTAGATCTTTAATAGAGTTTAACTCACGCGAGATATTTACTGCAGTAATACTATAGTGCAACACAATAGGATGTTTTGTTCTATGATACGTAAAGATCTTGCATTTGGTTAAATTAAGTGGAATCCCATTGAATTTGACCATTTAGAAAATCTATTAAGGTCATCCTGTAATTTTAATTAATAGAATCACTCTGTTCGGATTTTTATATTTCGGATGATATAACAATATGAATATATAGAATAGTATATAAGGGATGAATTTAAATAAATTTATAAATTATTGAATTGAGAAATATATAAAATTAAAATATACCATTAAAAATTTTATTAATATATTTATTATTTTAGAGACATCGAGTGGCTAATATTAAAAGAATCACTTTGTATACAACCACCTATAATTTTTTATAATTTCTTCATAAAAAATATTATGTTAGTGTTTGCGCCGCATACGAACACGTAGATAACGCTTACTTGTTTCCGTCCACTTACCTACCCTTTCCTCTCGCGGTTGTTTGGCGGCATTGGTCGGTTATCACTGCCGGCCGATAACTAAAAAATATGTATGTTTTTCTTTAGTATAGGTTAATTTATATAAGTTTTTGTACCTTTTTCCCTTTTTGTGAGTAACAAACAGTTGTTTTTATAGCTAGCCGGACTTTAGCATAAATAATATTATATTATGTTAGAAGTATAGTTTGGTGATTAATTTTATTTGAAATGATTTAAGTCACATGGATGATCTTTGTGGCGTTGTCATTTTATACTAGGAGAAAATAGGGAGGAAATTAATCAAAGACTAGAGGTGTGGAGATCAGCTCTTGAAGAAAAGGGTTTAAGAATAAGTAGAAGTAAGACAAAGTATATAGAATACGATTTTAATAAAGCAGAACACGAGATAGGTGAAATAAGGAGACCAGTGACAATAGGCGAGGACGTGATTGGTGACGTGGAAAGTTTTAAGTATTTAGGATCAATTGTGCAAAAGAGTTGTGGTATTGACGAGGATGTAAGACACATAATTAAGTGCGGGTAGTTGAAGTGGAGAGTAGCGTCTGATGTCTTATGAACGTAAACTCTACAAGACTGTAGTGAGACCAGCTATGATGTATGGTTCAGAGTGTTGGGCGATTGATAAGAAAGTAGTGCAGAGATGAGAATGCTTAAATTGATGAATGGAGTGACTATAGGAGATACGATAAAGAACGAGCATATAAGAGTGAGTATAGGTGTAATGTCAATCGTGGATAAGATGAGAGAAAATAGACTTAGATAGTTTGGTCATGTTATGAGGAGAGAAGAATCAGAAGCTGTAAGAACAATTATAGAAATTAATGTTGAAGAAAATAAGAGGTAGAGGAAGACCAAAAAAGAGATTGAGAGATGTTATTGAATGCGATATGAAGTTAGCTGATGTGAGCGTAGTGGATTTGGGAGATCATGTCAAGTGGAAGTTTAGGATAAGAGTGGCCGACCCCAAGTAGTTGGGATTCAGGCGAGGAAAAAGAAGACTTATAAATCATAAGAGTCTATTTTTATATTAAAAAATATATATTTTAAATTTTAAATCATAAAAATTAATTCCTCCTAAAAAATTAAATATTATCTACAAATTTACAAATTTACAAAAAAGGATGTTTTGTGATAGTGATTTTAATTACTATTAGATATCATCCATACTTAGTCTCACTGTGCCGCAATTCCACTATGCTACAGTTTTTTAATTATACATTAAAAAAAACCCAGCACAGTGGGGTTATGGAATTTAATAAAAAAAGTATAGTTTATAAATAGTCTGGCTTTATTAACATTATTCTTTTTTATATTTAGATAAAGAAAATGAGTTAAACAAATCAGAATTTATGAAGAAAGGTAATGGTCATATAATTATAAATTATAAGCATACAAGAAGTATTAAAAGACGTTTAAAACTTAGATATAGTTTTGTATTTTTATTTTCCATTAAAAAAAACCCAGCAGAATAATGTCGTCGAATATCTTATAATGCACAATGCAAATTAAGCATTTAATTAAAAAATTGTAATTAAAAATTATCACTACTAAATATTTTAATGATTATTTATGTTATATTAGAAATAGGAAAGAAATCACCAACTGAAGTAGAACAATTATTGAAATTTCTTAAACAAGGTAATATTTTTCGAAAATATATGTTAAAAAACAAATAAATAAAAATTAAATTTATGGTAAAATCGCGTACCTCAATATTTTAAGAATTTGTATTCTTTTGGCAATTTTATACTTATACTGACGAATATTTTAACGTTTTTAGAATTAAATATCTTATAAATTTTAAAAATACTTGAGTATTTAAAGTTCTACTTCTATTGTTAACTAATAAAAAACTGTTTTTTTGCTTTTGAATTTTGAATAATCGAGTTATGTGATTTTACGATATATACTATGATATATATTGTTAATTTAATATTATATCATCTAATTTAATAATAACTATTTATAGTAAATATATCAGAAAATTTCAATATTTTTTGCATTTTTATCGTAATAGATAACTTAGTAATCATTTCCTATTAACTTTTGGTATTTAAAAATATTTTACAATTGTAATATGAACTGAATTAATTTTAATGAATACTTTAACAAAAAAAACTAATCAAAAACAAGTTGTTAAAAAAATCTAATCAATAGAGCAGTGTATTATAAAATTTCATTATAATTCCAAATATCCGTTGTTAATTCAGGAGAAACTAACAATCATTATTTTTAGAAATTATTTATATAGCAACATGTTACCAACAAATTTGGAATATTATAATCTAGTAGTAGCACACAAATAGAGTAAAAGAATTATTAAATTAACATATTGTGAAAGTTTATACAAAAAAAAAATTGAATTTGTTACCATAACTTTTAGCTCAACTTACAAGTTTGAAATTGACATAATTAAATAGAAAATATTATGATAATAACACAAATTGTATTTTAGAATTAATATGCAGACAGTAAATTTTATAATTTTCATTTACAGTAAATTTATAAGAAAAGCTCAATATTTTTTGCATTTTTATCGTAATAGATCATTACAATAGAAATCATAGTAATCATTTCTAAATAATTTTTGGCATTTAAAAAGATTCTACAACTGAAATATGCAGAACTGAATTAATTTTAATGATTTACTTTATCTAAACAAAAACCATTAAAATGTTGTTAAAAAATCTACTTGAGCGTTTTATAAAATTTGATTATAATTATAAAAATCCATTGTTAAATTCAGGAGAAACTAAAAATCATATTTTTTAGAAATGATACATATAGCTACATATGATACGTGTTACCAAAAAATGTGAAATATTAATGACTGGTAGTAAATAGGTCAAAAAGTTATTAGATTACAAAGTAAAATGATTTAATTTTGTAGTTGAAACCTATCATATCAAACTTGATTCATTAATAAATACTTTGAAAACAATAGAAATGAATGATTTTAATTGTCTGTATGGAGAACATGGGATACTTAGTTGTTTAATTGATAAATTAGATTTTTTTTCAATTTTTGAAGGTAATATCTTCAACTAGATACGAAATGTAATCATCTGACGTATCGTTGAAAAAAGTAGGTCAAGTTAGAGCAGAGAAAATAAATGATAGTCACAAAAAAATACCTTCTCATCTTTACATCAAAGTTAAAAGTTAAAATCTAAAATATAATAAAATAATTTTAATATGAATAAGAAATTTATTCTTACGAGTGGCGACTACAGTGATGGTATCCTTGATCTTTATTTAAAGTTATTGAACCTAAATGAGATAAAAATCAAATGAGTTGAAAATTTATTCTAACTTAAAAAGAATTTATAAAAAATGCAATAAATTCCTTGTCATACACAGGTTGGAACCTTGTACCCCAAGCCCATAAGACACAAGTGTTACCATCTCTTTAACCGTACGTCGCTCGATTGAAAAAATTGCAATTTAAGGTAGTTCGAATTTCAGTTATTTTTCTCTACTTAATAAAAGCAAAAAAATTTAAATAAGTTTAAATTTCTATGCTATATCAATTTGTTTTATATAATTTTCATTAAAATCAGTGTACTCCTCTTGTCGGGTATTTTAAAATAAAATAAAATACAAAACCCAGAATTTTAACACAAAAATAGCATATTTTTAAATACGTTAGTCATTTTCACCACGAAGACAAATCCATAGATCAAATTTTTTTTTTCAAATTAAAGTATATTACATCAGCTTTAATTTAAGATACATATAAAAGTTTCCGGAAAACTTTCAAAAATTAAATTGAAAATGTCCTAGTTTCAATACGCATGTTTAAAGTTTTGACCCCCTTGTATAAAAGGATATGATCCGATTTAAAAAAAAGTGTGTGATGAAAGGGGTATATAAAAATTATTTATACAAAAATAATAATATTGATCCTTACATTTTTCCAAAAGTTATAGTAATATAAATTTAAAAATATAAAATCAGGAATTTTTTTCACGGAAATCGTACGTTTTTCTTTAATTTTGATGTCCGTTTTCACTACAAAGACAAGTCAATTTTTTTTTTTTTTTTTGAAAATAAACTATATTACATTAAACTTTAATTTAAGATATAAATAAAAGTGTCAGTCTTTCCGGAAAATTTTCAAAACTTAAGTTGAATAAGCTCTACTTTTTATACGATTTTTTAAAGGTTTGAACCCCTCCCTGTATAAAGGGAAATGGTCAGATTTAAAAAAAAAGGATGTCGAATGAAAGTAAAAATAAAGTATTTATAATTAAAGAATAGAATTGATTCATGCATTTTTTAAAAAGTTATAGCAACATAAAGTTAAAAACAGTAAAATATAATACCAAGGTTTTTTTTACAAAAATAGCATATTTTTGAATACGGCAGTCATTTTCACTTTGAAGACTAGACTTGAAGTCAAATTTTTTTTTTCAAATTATAGTATATTACATAAGCTTTAATTTAAGATATACAGGGTGATTTTTTTATCATATCCCACTCAATTACTTACAGAATAATAATAAATTAAATATTTTTTTTTCGATTATCTTTAGTATCATTAACAATGTATGGATCAGTAAATTTTTTTTTTTATAGATGCTTGATGTCTATACTTATCATTTGGCATATATTTTTTATAAATCTAACCCTTTATCTGCCCACAGGTGGTGATTTAATATTACAAATTCTTCACAAAAAATTTACTTTTTCAACTTTGTTGCGGAAAGTCTAACACATTTATATATATCTTAAATTAAATCTAATGTAATATACTTCATTATGGAAAAATAAAATTTCTGACTTTATTTTGTCTTCACGATGAAAATGGCTACCATATGCTATTTTTGTGTTAAAATTCTCGATTTAATATTTTACATTTTTAACTTTAAAATGTTATAACTTTTTGAAAAATGTATGGATCAATACAATTTTTTTATGAGATATAATATTTTTTAATATTCCTTTTTTCATTCAGGATATTAATAAGAAAATATCAGATCATGAAGCTTTTGGAATAATCCACCAATTTTTTTAAAATTAAACACTATCTAAACATTTGCATCGAAGCGTTTATTTTGATAGCGATTTTAATCACTGTCAGATATCGTTATACTTGATCCAACTATGCCACGTCATCACTGTGCCGCGACCCCCTGTGCTGAGTTTTTTTTTCTTAAAACTGCCATAACTTTTGTAAAAATGAACAAATCAATATAATTTTTTTTTTATATAGATACCTTAGGTTTTGTTTATTATTTTATATATTTTTGTGAACATTTGAGCCTTTATTTGCCCGAAGAGAGGGTTTGAATATAGCAACTTTTTCAACTTAACTTTTGGAAATGTTCCGGAAAGACTGATACTTTTATATACAGGGTGATTTTTTTATCATAACGCATTCAATTACTTACAGAATAATAATAATTTAAAAATTTTTTTAAATTTTTTTTTTACAAATAGTATATCTATTGATAGTCATAATTGATAATAAACAATACGTGACTGTGACAGAAATATCAAAATTGTTCTATTTTTAAAAAGTTATGGCAGTTTTAAGTAAAAAAAATTGAAAAATTTTCGAAAATTCGTTATTTTTAAATTTGTAATTTTTTTGGAGATTTCCTCTATTTACGGGGAACGAAGGCAATTTTTTCAATTTTTGAGTGTAATGTCTTTAACTATTGACATTTGAACATAGAAAATAAGTCGTCGTGACATATTTTTTTTGAACTTCTAGTACATAACATATGCTTTATTTTAACATACGTTTGAAGCTCGGAATATTACTTGAACATTTTTAAAACTTAAGTTGAAAAAGTTAAATTTTTGTACAGAGGTTGCTACCTTGAATCTCCCTATGTAGCAAGTAAAAGTTCATATTTTAAAAAAAAATTTTTGCTCCGTTAATTTTTAAAAAGTTATGGAAAAATAATAGTTTTTCTAAGAAAAAGAGTTTAATAAATGTAGAAAATTAGTGATTTTTAAATTTGTAATTTTTTGGGGGATTTAAACCTCGTTTACGGGAAACGAGGTAATTTTTTCAATTTATGAGGGTAATTTCTTTGACTAGATACAATTTGTGATCTTTTGACGTATTGTACATAAAAATCGGTCCAGTGAGAGATGAGATTGAGTGGTAACAGACACAAAAAATACATATCATAGTAAAATAGGTATTAATTTTACTATGATATGTATTTTTTGTTTTTTTGTCTGTTACCACTCATTCTCAGCTCTCAATATAGTTTTTTTTTATAGATGCATGATTTCTTTACCTATTATTTGATATATTTTTTTTATAAATTTGACCCTTTACCTGCCCACAGGTGGATTTAAAATGACAACTTTTTCACAAAAAATTGACTTTTTCAACATAACTTTTAAAAGTATTCCGGAATGACTGACACTTTTATATATATTTTAAATTAAAACTAATGTAATGTATTTTATCATGGAATAAAAAAAATTTCGGACTTTATTTTGTTTTCACGGTGAAAATGGTTACCAAATGCTATTTTTGAGTGAAAATTCCCGATTTTGTATTTTACATTTTTAACTTTATTATGCTATAACTATTTTAAAAATGTATGGATCAATATAATTTTTTCATGAGAAATAATATTTATGTCCCACATTCATTCGACAAACTTTATTTTAATCAGGATATTAATAAAGAAATAGCAGATCATGTAGCTTTTCGAATAATCCGCCAATTTTTTAAAATTAAAATCAATCTAATGATTTGCATCGAAGCGTTTTTTATGATAGGGATTTTAATCACTGTCAGATATCGTTATACTTGATCCAACTATGCCACGTCATCACTTTGCCACGACCCCCTGTGCTGGGTTTTTTTTATTTTATAGATCTAATTTTCCTTTTATTTTCTATCTAAATATTTTTTTATTCCAGCATTAATTGTGAATTAAAATTCATCTGAAGGAATATATTAATATTTAAAACTCATCTGACTCCAGCAAAAAAAAATTAAAGATATAGTAAGATAATACATTTTTTATTTAATATTAATTTATATTTTTATCACAAAAAATGTCTAGCAATTAATAAAGTACGAGTCAAATCAACAAAATTTACAATATTTATTTTATAATTTTACAGAAAAACCAATGAAACGTATACGTTCAAGACATAAACAACTAATTTTAATCATAAATTTAATTTTTAGCTTTAAAATAAAGATATTTACACCATAGTTAAAATAATTAAAATTTGTTCTTCTTAATATGAACTATGATAAATGTTATGAAATATTTACCTCTTATTACTATTATTAATATCATTATTTATTTTTATATGATAATCAATTAAAATAATTTAATATATGAACATTCAAATTGATTTAAATATATACAATGTAACGCAATAAAATATAAACGTAACATAGTCTTCAATTTTGCATATGTTTAAAGGACGCATTATTTCCGGAACAATTTCAAAAGTGAAATTTAAAAAGTTAACTTTCATGCAAATAATGATAATTTGACTCACAGTTTTGGGCAAGTAAAGGGTCATATTTTCAAAAAATTTACATCAAATGAAACAGTTTTTATCAAATTGATATAAATTGCATTCTTCATACAAAAATAATTATTTTGTTACAGTCATTTTTCAAAAAGTTATGGCACCTTTAAGAACCAAAAAGTAACATAATGATACAATAACTAAATAACTAGGTGCGATTTGTGATCTTTTGACTTAAAAAAATTAGTACGATGAGAGCTGAGATAAAGTGGTAACAGATATAAAAAAACACATTATAGTAAAATTAATACCTTCTCAACTTCGCATAGAAGCTAAAAATATTTCATTATATACAAAATTTAGTTTTTATATTCCAGTAAAATTTTTTTCAACTATTTACTTATTTTTTTACAAAATTAAATATTAAACGAAATTTGTATGAAAGATATATTCGTATCTATAAGTGTTCGTTTGATATTAAGTATTATTCGTAATTATGTCAATTTTAAAAATTCTACAAAAACAGTGTATTTTGTAGTGTTACTGGAAAAATAATGGGTTAAAAAAAATTTGTATGTATTATTTTTATTGAAAATATTATTGGCTATAAATTATGTTCGATTTTTTTTCTATGATGACTCATTTGCGACCTAAATACAAAAAACTAAAAATACTCTTGTTGTCCGATTTTCAACTTCTAGTAAGCACAGGTGTAATGTCGTAATATACTCGTCGCTACCATTAACGTGAGTAACACTAGGCTACCCTGTTTGTGCTCACAATAATAGTATCTTATTATTTTTTTCATTTAAAATAACCACCACTCCTATTTATACATTATATTTATATTCTTAGAAAAACATTAATCGTTTTTTTGAGATTTATTTGGTATCCTTCTTGATTACGTAGAACGATTCCTACCGTATCCAACACATTTGTGTTCAATTGGTAGTAAAAAATTTGCCTGGGAACTTCTATAATGCGGTGCCTGGTGACACGCTGGGAGAAAACTCATGTAAGGTGTGTGATTGTTTTCCATTGTGGTACGAACCCACAATAATATTACAATCCACTCGAATAGACGTAATCGGTGTTATTGTCACTGGATAATCCGATACATGAGTCTTACGTGGTTCCAAATACCGAGGATTGAAACCCAATAAACGGCAAAATGATCTTTCATGTGAGAAATTGATGAATGTTCACACATTATTTCGCAATGCATCGTCACGTGGTTCACTTCGATTTTGAACGACGAGGTCACTTTTCTATCTTTAAATTTTTCAACGATTGTATATTCAAAGGAAATTTTCTCGTACTGACTGGCAATATATTTGCTCAAGTCTTCCAATTCGTACGTACCAACGGGCAGTGTTACTTTCAGCAAGGGTTCCTGCCGGGCAATCCAAAAACGATTATATTATTAGTTTCATCAATGTTTGGCATTATGTTCCAAGTGTGTAAGCTCAACAGCCCAATTTCACAGTTATCGTCAACGTCAATGTGTGGATGAAATCGGCATTTAATTTGTGATCCCCTACCTGTCACGGTTATCGATGACGGTTTTGTGTTGGATGACATTTTTTTTGTTCTATAAGAAATTTTAAACACAAGTGTCAACAATTCGTTTCGTCGAAAGTCTGATAGTTTCTGTAGTTGTATGTGATTTTACAGCCGTTAAAATACCGTAACACTTCCAATGGCTGCGGTAAATTACCAAAACTATCAAAGTACGTAACGTGCTCACCACGTTTACTGTATTCTACCCAATGTGTTCCTCTATTGCTCGAAACGTCCAGATTAATCACGCCCATTTCATTTGTATGTGGTTGTGTACGTGATAATGTGTCATGACAAAATACACCACGAAATACACGTGAATCGAGCACACGATGAGCGAAATGCTCTATTTCATTATCGTATAATGCACGATTGGGTAGGAGCGGAATAATTTTTTTTTCACTCTCTGTTTTGAACGACTTTTTTGTGGTTCCCTCTTCTCGATCCGGTAACCGGATCCGTAAGGACGAATGTACAGTCCTTTACCCACGTTAACACCGGTACATTCATTGCGAATGAATTCACTTGCAACCTTTACTACGTTTGCAGCTCCGCCAACTAGTGCTCCTAGTGCTGACAAACCGGCAAAAATTGGAATTAACGGCATCACTCCTCCGCTTTTCGGGATGTTTAGTATGTGAGGTACACTCATCGGACTCTTCTTGATGATCACACGTCTAGCAGCGAGCAAAGCTTTTCGTGCAGCATTTTTCAACGATGTCGGAGACGCCGTCACTATTTTATTTTTTTTTTTCAATCCCATACCGAGTTTGCGTTTCAATTTCATTGCGTTTGTCACACCCCAAGCTACGGCTCGTTCTGATAATTTTGCGTCCTTTAAACGCACTCGATCCCACGCACGATGTTCTAGAATTTCATCGGCTCGATGCCAATCCCCGAGAGAATTACTTTTGGAATACGCGATATCGTGTTCACGGCATGCTGCGTCCAATGGATTGATACCACGGTCTCCAAATGCTAAACGTTTCTGTAATTTAGTTCCAGAACCGGCAAACTGGTAACCGGGCACGTGGGCTTCAAAAGGAAGGTTGTTTATAACTGAATTGACAATACCGGATCCCCGTTTCCGATGTCGACGTCGTTGTAGCGTTTTCATTGTACTTCTAACGTCCTAGTTCACACTTACAATATTATATATATAGAATATCGTAAATGTGATGAAAAAATAACGCTATCTATTGCCCTACGCAATCGAGGTCAATACGTTACGAGCAACAACAAAGTTTTTTATTATAATAATAATAATACACAGAAAATGATGGTTAAATGGCGACGTGCGATGCGTTTTGAAAAACAGACAGAAACTCTGCCCGTGGTCAATTTTGACGAATATGTCGCCACCAATGTACAGCACAGTAAACACGGGAAGTTATTACCAAACAGTGTACGTTGTCTAGTTTGTGATCCGTCAAACTGTGGTAAAACCAATTTAATGTTCGCGCTGTTAACCGACTTGAACGGATTGAAATTCGAAAACGTTTACATCTACTAGAAATCGTTGGAGCAGTCGAAATATCAACTGTTGATTCGAATATTGGAAGATGTTGAAAGGATACGTGTGTTCACATTTGCGAACGGTGTTGAAGTTCCACCAGTGGACACTGTTCTGCCAAATTCAGTGTTTATTTACGACGACGTGGTTATGGAAAAACAAAACGTAATGTGCGATTATTTTGCGCGTGGCCGACACAAAAGAGTTGATGTGTTTTTTCTCTCACAAACATTGTCCCGTATACAAAAATAAATGTTACGAGACAATGCAAATATGGTGGTGTTGTTCCGACAAGACAAAATCAACCTACGTCATGCATACGACGAGTACGTGTGTTATGATATGAAATTTAACGAGTTCAAAGAGTTTTGCAATCAGTGTTGGAAAAATGATAAATACGGGTTCGCAGTGATATGTACGGATTTTGATCGTGATAGTGGTCGATACAGGTACAGGTTTGACACGTACGTTACAATATGAACACCGCCGCCGACAAGGAACGATGTTCGATGGAACTGTTGGACTAAGCCCGGGACAACGTCAGACGAAAATATGCAGAATTGTGTCGTGGTGAGTCAGAGTCGTTGACTCACATTCAGAAAAAATTAGCACCAATAATCGAACCATTAAATAGGATATCCAATGTTGTTAATGTGCAGCAGCAGCAGCATCATCAGAAACAATCGCAAGAAAATAGCTTTTCAAAGTTATATTTTGCACATCTTATAGAACAATGGACAAAAAATCCGTTGAGAGATAAACAATACGGTCCTAGAATGCATATGAACGGTAAGCTGAGCATGGGTAATGCAAACGATATAACCGTTGACAGTGACTCTATTCGTGTAAATGAAACAAAACACCCATTGACGATTGAACTAATGAATTTGTTGTTTTCAAAAAATCCCGTTGCGTTCACCGACGAAGATTTGGAAAAGTACAAAACAATATTGGAGGAAACCGGAGCTCATCTAAACAAAAATATGGCATTGAAAAAGGGAGGTGTTAAATACAATGAAGTTATCGAGCCAATGTTCAGGAGCGTAGGATCGGGANGCCAATGTTCAGCAACGTAGGATCGGGACTACAGCTGAGAGTCGGTGAAAAAAAAGATTACTTATACTGGGACGATCCCAATGAACTTGTCGAACGTCTGAAGCTGCTCATATCGGCTCAGTCGGCTGGCAACAATGGAGTGTCACCCGAGATTGTTTCCATACTAGAAGAACTTTACGAAGCCGGGTACATTGCCGACATACCGTCTACATTATGAAACGAAAATTGCGTACGAACTACATCGACCGGCCCGGAGAACATACAATCGAACACGGGTAAACATTAAAGGACTCGATGACGTATGGCATGCGGATCTTGTGGAAATGGGCGCGTACGCGGATCGTGGTCACCGATACATTCTAACGTGCGTGGACGGGTTTTCAAAGT